CCCTCCACGTGGAGCTGTCACCTCGTGGCACGCTGGCCGGGTCGCCGTCCACGGCCCCGCGCCGCGGCTGGGCCTTCGCGGGGCTCCCCACGCCACCTGGACCTCGGCGGGAGCACGCTGGTCCCCCCGCCGCACGCCGACCACCGCCCGCGAGAGAAGCAGGACAGTCCTCACCCCGCCACCCGAAGCGCGGAGAAGCAGTCCGCCGGCCCCAGCGGCACCGCGCTGCTCAAACCCGCCATCGCCCGCGCTCTCAACTTCCTTGGGGTTGGAAACCCGCACGCTGCGCGACCCACGGTCAAGGCCTGAACCAGGCTCCTGGAGAGACTAGGTGGGATCCGACCCCCAGATGGAGACTCTGCGATGACCATGAGCACTCAGGGTCAGCGAAGTCTCCTGAGGGAAGCGTTAAGCCTCTGTAGCTCCCAACCTTAACTTCTGATGACAGACCCTTAAGCCCCTCTGGGGCAGAGACGGGGTCTTATCCTCCGTGTATCCCAAGAGGTTAGCATGTCGCCTGGCCGCAAGTGGATGCTCAATAAAATCATAGCACTCACTGACGTTCATCTAGCAGGTAATTTCGTGCCAGCCTTGGTTACAGAGCCTACACATTGAGTCTTTACAGCAATCCATGAGGTAGAGACAACTGTTATCCCAATGTTGCAGATAAGGGACGTGGAACAGAGTTCCTGGAATGCGCGTCCCCGCGTCTGAATACCATGGAACGCCTCAGTTCGGCGGGACTCCGGGGGCACCTGCGGTTCCCAGACTGAACCGAACCAAAATGGAACTTTGACAAGGTGAGCAAACAGAGGAGATGCCCACAGCAGAACCTCTCCCTTATTTTTAAAGAAAAATTGCTGGCAGCGACTTGCCCCCATGTGCTCAGGAGCCAACACCCGCCATCCAGCGTTTCTGCCAGCAGGCACAGGCCAACCGAGCAAGGTGACTTCAGAGAAACCAAGGGAAATGGCGGGACGTTTAATGCTTCATATCTGAATGCCGCTTTATACTTTTCAAGGGCACTTTCAGGGCACATACATGCCTGTCTTGATCAAAACCTGTGAGGTGGGCAGAGCAAACAGTCCTATCCATTGTTTCAGATGAATCTTTGGGGCTTAGCATACCTGGGGGATTTCTGTGATGCTACCCAGGTGGCTAGTGGCCTTTGACCTTACTGTCACCCCAAGAAGAGCAGGGTGTAAAAATATATAAATTAAAAGTAACCCTAGGATAATACATAAAATAGAAATTGGATAGGAGGAATAAATGGAGGAGGCCAGATAAGAGATGTTTTTAAATGCTCAGCAGAGTTCTGGTTTCACTAAAGGTCCTGAATTTATGAAATATGCTTAACTAGTGGCAAGACTGTTCCTTTCAGTGAATATCTTGAAAGTGGATGGCTTCTCATTTGACCTGAGACCCAAATCTTTCAAACAAGTCTTGCATCTGAAAGGCAGCCTGGTTCATGTAGATGGCACAGGTTTTTGGTGAAGGAGTCTTTCCCCAGTCGGCCACTGGGTACCTCAGGGTGGGGACTGAGTCTCATTATCACATTATAAGCAGAACCATCTATAGTGCTGAGCCATGCATATATTGCCATTTACCTGAGGGATGAATGGAGCTCTCACTACAGTCAAAAGCCCTGCAGTGGAGGGTCAAGAATCAAAAGGCCTCAATTCCATGCCCAGCTCTGCCTCTGAGTCACTTCTCCGGGCCATCAGGTCACTTCTCTGGACATCAACACCCTCTCTCTGGAATGAAGGCATTATACCATGTGGTAAAGCCCTCACAGTCTAAAGTCTGTGAAATCAGACTTTGGCCAGTAGGGCAGGTGGTAGGACCAACGGAGTGCTGGGTGTGGACTGGGCAGATGTGTCTAAGTGAGGTGTCTAAACCCCTAAAGATACAACTTGCTTATTCGAAGTGTTCTGTTTTATGACTGATTGAACCTCTTTCAATGAAGTAGGAATCATGAATCCCACTTCTGTTTCAGTTTTCCAGATTGTTTCAGATTGGCCTTTTCCAACACCATGACATGGATGGGCAGACAGACAGGTGGACTGTACTAACCCATCTATGAAAGATCCTCCTGACCATGCCTCATGGTTTTCCTCATAGTTTAAACTCAAATGTGGTTGTGTTACCTTTTTAATGAAAGAGTATGCCACAAACCCGCCGACCAGAAGCTTTATGAAGAATAACCATATTCTCCCTTTTATCAGAAAGAAATATTTTCAACTGAGAATTTGTGGAAGAAAGGTGAACGGGCATCAGAGGGGACCCCCAAAATTGCACATTTAGAATTGGGAGTGCCCTGAAAGCGTATTGTTCCAACAATGTCATTTGTAATGGATCAAAATACATTTCCTCAGAGTTTCCACTTCTGATCCATCGATTCTTCAGGACAAGCCACTCAGAAAGTCAAATCCTGCTTCTAGAACCTTCAGATGAGGGAAGACTTGCCCTTCCCATCCTGTCCACTCTTCTCAGTCTTTTTCTTGCATAAATTGGCACCCAGACCTGTTGTGGCTTTCCAGTGACAGTGTGTGCAAGACCCTTCTCAAGCAAGACAACACGCATTAGTCAGGCAGGGTGACTCAAGTCTGTAATCTCAGCACTTTGGGAGGCTAAGGTGAGAGGATTGCCTGAGCCCATCGGCTCAAGACCAGTCTGGGCAACATGGTGATACCTTGTCTCTGCAATAAATAAAAAATAATAATAATTAGCCAAGTGTGGTGGCGTGCACCTGTAGTTCCAGCTACTTGGAAGGCTGAGGCGGAAAGATCACTTGAGCCCAGCAGATCAAGGCTGCTGTGGTTGTGAGCGTACCACCGCACTCCAACCTGGGCAACAGAGTGAGACTCCAGCTCAAAATATAAACACACATTAGCACGGGCTGCTTTTTGTGCATTTTCACTGACTCATACGATATGCGTTATGAACAAAACCCCTTCCATCCTTTTCCACATAGTCTGCTGGTAGGCCACATCTCTGCTACGTTGCATTTGTGCAAAGCTCTTTGGATCCAAGTGTGGAAACTTGCATTCACTCCTGCTCAGAGACAGGTGGCCTTTCCAAACATCGGGAACCTTGCAACTTCAAGCAGATCCCAAGAGATCCAGGAACTATGTCTTAAGCCTAGTACTTTGCTTTGAAGGAGCAATGTGGGACCCTTGCCAGGTTGGTCTGGAAGTGCCATTACTGGAGAAAGACAGGCCAAGGCCAAGGCCAATGAATGAGAGCATCTGTGGGGCCCAGGGGGTCTGCAGGGGGACCTTGTCACCCAGCGTACTCCTTCAAGTGGAAGATCCCCCCAGTCCTGTTCCAGTTCTCCTATTATGTCTTCAGTCCAACTGCAATCTGTGGAAGATGGAGTGAGGCGTGCTGAACAGCTGTGGAGCTGCCCTCCTATGGCAGAAAACAGAGAAGCAAAAATATCAGACGCAAGAGTCTTTGCAGCCAAGATTTGGGGAGTGGGGTGAGGATGGAGGAGTCAGAGACTGATGCTTGGTGGGAGGGAATGGGGAAGGGAGGGGGACAGACATCCCGCTGTAGAGTGGAGATGACAAGAACATGTTTTTTAACTTTCCTTTTCTTGCTCTCATTTCTGTGTTTTATTAAGGAAAACACAAAGGGAAAATTGTGTTATTTGTTAAAAAATGTCAAAGTGCATTTCAAGCAAGAGGAAAAGAAGCAGAAACATTATTGCCCAGACAAGCAACAGTCTAATAGGGCAGCGGGA